ACTTTGACATAGACCATTTGAAAACATCACGAATCCATCCAGTGGTGTAGTCAGATTTTTTGTAAAAAATCGCTAATAATTTTTTTTAATTTTTGACCTGCTATAAACATTGTATGTTTTTTGGGAAAATAAATCGTTACTATATTAAGAATAACACAAGTACCAAAATGTTATCGGTAATTATTTGGTTCAACACAGTACAGCCAATCCACCCTATTCACGTGAGAAATCTCACATTTACCAGCATAACCAGAAGGTGACCTGCTACAATTCATAATTATTAAATTTTTCCTATTTATTTGCTAATACTCGATACCACAAGTTTCAAAATCTTTGTCAATACAGAAACATGATAGATCAATAAGATCCACTTGCGGCCCATCTCAAACCTAAATTGTCACCCCACTACATTTCAACGTAGATTGACAGTATGATTTTTTTGATAGGATTCCATCAAAATTAATGGTTAAAGGTAAAACTGGAACCTCTGGCGTAAAATAAATTCAAAACAAGCACTTTTCCCAACGACCAGAACTGCAATACTTTTTTCAACGCGCGAGAGATGTATTGAAACATTTTTGGCATACTAGACAAGCAAACAAAATTTGAATATTGAAGTATTTCATCAATCAACATACCCTCCTCATGATTGGGAACCAGATCTGCACATTGGATCAGTTGACGAAAGACATGATGGTCAGACGAAGACAAATCTGGGGAATAAGGGTGGGTGTTCAAGTAATGCTGTCCCTAAATAACGAATTGTTGGCATGACAACATGCGATTTGTAAGTAGGGATATTGTCCTGCATTATTTTTCCTCGTAGAGTGATCGAATATAATTTCCAGTTATTGTTCTACCCTTTTCCAGAAAATCGATCATGATTATTCCTTGGTAATTCTGATAGATTGAAGCAAGAAATTCTTCAAGACTTGGAAACCAGTTTCTTCATTCCATCGATTGTTGCTTTGATTCTGGGTCATAAAAATGTACAATGTATTTGAGTAAGGTAACATTGTCTAAGAAGGTTGCATCTTTTTCAAAACAAACACGAATCAATCAATCAATCAATTTATTTCGTGAATGGCAGTGGTTACATTGAAAATGTGTATAAAATAAAGTAAGTATAAGAAATAAACAAGACCCCTACAAAAGATAATCTTGTCACTTATCTTAAGGTTAGGTCGTTAGGTTAGGTTAGATGTGCTTTCTTGTGAGATTAACAGGATTTCACTGGTTTCATAGAAAAGGATAATTATTAGCGGAAAACACTACAATGTATAAAGTGTGGTTGGTATGTATAATGATTGGTGGGGATTTTTCATATCAATAAGATCGTGTATTTTCATTTGATCTAGAGCATGCAAGTGTAGAGCGATACTCTACACTTGCATGCTCCTTGTGAACATCCCGACTTTTGCAGATCAATTTTGCAGAATTTTTTCTCATGTACGAATGTCCGGTCTGCGTGAAATATATGAAAAATTCAGTGCCTCAGATATTCAGGTTAGCCCAGTGTTTCTCAAACTTTTCGAATTCACGGCTCCCTCATGTTTTTTGAAGGTTATCGCGGCGCCCCGAACGTAAAGACTACACTAGATATTTCATTAATAAAAGTAGGTAGGTGGCTGTCTGAACGGATTGCATTTTGCAATTACCGATATTATCGTATTATCAGAGGATTTTTATTAATAGGTACCGACTCATTACCTTTACTCTCAGTTATCTATGTTGTGGAACGTTGTAACTTGAGACTCACCCGTGTACCACGGCGCCCCAGTGTTGAGAAACACTGGGTTAGCCCAATACGACGGTTTGATAAAATCATGTTATGAACTGCATTAGTATCTTTGGATGTGGATACAGAAACTGGCCTCTCCAATCGGTCATCTACAATGAAAAATGTACCTATCTTTTTTAAAACTTGAAATACAATTTTTCATGAACATTGATCGCGTATCTTCGTAAATCTCCTTATTTCTTAACCCTTTCAAAAGCCGGAATATGATGATATTTCCATACTCAAAACTCAGTTTTCTCAACTTTGGTCGACTTAACGCAATATTTGTATCCACGAAACCAGTTTAAGCTACCTAGATTCAATACATTCATGTATATGTTCATTCTACACATGGGTCCAAAACTTATGTTTTACCCAATTCCTTGTAACTCTGTATGTTTTCTATTCTGAATTAGCCCTCTAGTGCATCTTCCATTATCACAATATGTAAAAGGGGTAGAGTCAATGCATCTGTGTGGTTCTCATTGATCATATTATTCCCAAACAAGCAAGAATTTGTACCTTGCTTGATTTGGTAATATCTTTCACTTGTTTCATCTTCACTCACCAAACCAAAGATGCATAAGATGTCATGAGTTTTCCCACTCTTGTGTATACACAATATTCCACGTTTGGTTTCAATACCCGCGGCTTTTCATAGGTGCATGAAGCCGGTTGATTCCAGATCAATTTGGGGTTTATATATTTAAATGTATAGTAAATTTATTGTATGAAGGATCACATGATATATTCAACTTGTATAAACATTAAATCTTAATAAACAAACAAAACACCTTATTTGGTAAAATAGTATCTAAAAATGCAATTGGTAACAATTTTTTCTTCTAAATATTTATCGCTCCCTATTTTAATTATTTCATAAATGAATTGCTTCTAAATTTTTGCATGCATCATATAATAACGAAGCAAGTTTATGAGTCTCTTCATAGTTCTGAACCAAACAGTGATGAGTTAGATTTGCTAATTGAGTTATTTTTCTGAGGGGCACAGGAGAGCACTCTTCTTCATCCTGAAAATTAGAAAAAATTTAATTATAAACAATGAGTGAAATAGTAGATTTTTTTAACACAATCTGTTCTCAAAAAAAAAGAGAAGTTTAAATTGAAAAAGGAATATTTTTAGAAGAGATTGGTTTTTGGGAAAAAGCTTCTTGGCTTTTTTACTTCTTCATCATTATACATGAAAAAAAATATGAGGAACTTCCAAAGTAAGGATGAAAATCATAAACTGCAATAAAAACTCACAAAGATGTAGAAATCATGGAAATAGAAACCAAGGGAATAGCACTGAAATTGCCGAGTAACGACTGAAATATGGTAAACTTATGGTAAGATAAATCGCAGCGTAGTAGTCGTGATTCAGTATTTGTAGAGTTCACTTCTTGTGAAAATGCATTTAACTAGGAAGTGCACACACTGTGGACACTCATCAGTAGCCTTAGAACCTTTCTGGGATTTGTCTCTCCCCATGCCACAAATAACTGGCCAATTGAGTTTGTCATAATGCTTGGATTCCTTCACAAGATAGGAAACTCTGGATGAAGATGAAAAACCAACGTGTTCGAGGTGCAAGGAAAGAAGAAAATGCAAATTGAATGTTGCCGTTGACTTTTCTTTAGAAGGATTAGATATGAGCAATTATGCAGCAGACAATGTGGTTCTTTGTCGTTATAAAATATGTATATGCACTTTCGAATCACAGTGGGACTACTTACAACAGGCATTACACAGCATATTGCAGTCACCCATATAGTAGCACGTGGCATGAATATAACGATTCACACGTGTCCCCAATTTCACTAAAATCTCTTGTGAGTGAGGAGGCATATTTTCTCTTTTATGAACAGGAGGGAACTAAGCAGCACCTTTGAGGCGTTTTTTTCTTTTTCTTTATGAACTAAATTCTGTCACTTCTTCGATTGACGACTTGTTTATTTTGTGGAAATAGAGTTACAAAAAAATGTTCCGGGAAAAAGTTGTAGAGATTAATAAAAGCTATGTTTCAATAATTATTACAGGATGTCCAATGAATGTGTGACAGGCCAAACTTATGTTTTTTTTTAAATAGAATGCTCCAGATATTTTCACTCGATTGAATTTCTTGGGCAGAGTGCTTGTCAAATATTTAGGATTGTTTAGATTCATACCGGGTGGTTCAGAAGTTATAGTGAAATTTATGTCAAAAAATGGGTTCATTCAATAACGAATATCTCCTACTTGCTCAAATGAAATGAAGAAATTTTTCAAAGAAATATTCTTGAAGCTAGTGTATTTTCATTTCGTCTCCATAAGTTTACCTTATGGTATTTTTTCAATACAGTGGTAAACAAAACTCGGGATCACTTTTTTCTTAGTTTTTTCAAACAGCACATCCTGTAATCCTAGAATAGCCCACACCAATAGCTTTCAGTAAAGCTAGAAATTGATTACTTTATTTTCATCAGAAATGTATCTAATTCTTGAGGAAAGTATGAAAAAATCATCAATTAAATCTATCTATAATTTCTCCTCGAACTTCGCTTATTGTTTTTCTTGTAACAAACTTCATTGAATCAATATATTTTCCTGACAATTTGGTTGGTTTCTTGCAGTAAGTGATCCCTTAACAAGATAATAGAAGCCCACGTTTTGTTTACTCCTTGTGCTTCACACTCTATGTTTTCGGAAACATCTCTTTCGCAAAACTCTTGAATGGTATATTCATATAAGAGTAATGGGTATAGAGGTTCCAGTTATTACATTTATCAGGATGTTGTACTGCATATTATTCTACTGGCTGATAGCAGCTTATTTAACACCTACTCGCAATGTATCATTAGAAAAATTTAAAATTTGGAAAAATAATAATAATAATAACAAGCATCAATGCATCATAATAATAATAACAGCATCAATGAGTACTGTACAAAATTCTCTATAGATCAGTAAATACCACGACACAGTAGAATTAATATTTATTGAGATATGGAGCTACAAAACACATTACATTAAAACGGACAAAACTTTTAAAACAACCTAATAGATTTATTCTTCATCTGTCTTAATATGGTTTTGATACCTGGAAGTAAAAGTTTGTAGATTTTATCAATTATTTTTCTGAAAGATCAGGAACATATGATTTGATATTATTGGATGAAGTTGTTTAAAGTATTGTTTATTTAAGGGTAGCTGGATAATTTCAAATATTTCAAATCGTTATATAAATTGATACATCTACAATGTGTCTTTATTTGTGTCCATAATTTCATCTTAAGACTACAAGGGAATTGAATTAATTAAAAGAATGCCACTTCTTAAAGAACCCGTATGGGTAACACTATGTTTTGTAAAATTACTGTTTACTTACCAATGACCTCAAGTACATTGACACAGTGGGAGTTAATGCTGTGAAATTATCACGTTTTTTCGGAGCAGTGGACAAAAATAATCTTAATCTCTTTCCAGTTACTATTAACAATAATTTCCCTAGTTCTTTTCTAGTGGTCACCTGACCGGCGAACCAATTTGCCAAACTATCATAACCTTTCATGAATAATTGCGCCACCTGCAACAAAGATGATCAAATTAATATGTGAGGAAACAACAGGGTCATATTTGAATGAATTTGGATATATTATTATTAGGGGTATAACAGAGCGGCTATACTGTCCTGTATATTAGACAACCAGAATCGAGTTGGGAATATATTAAAAAAAAACACAAATTCTGTGTCATGCTTCTACACTAATCTTGATCCTAATAACTATTACTACCTGAAGAATGCATTACATAAAATATTTACCTTGTTAGGAACAACTCATTGAACTGGAAAATAAATAATACAAGTTTTCCCTGAGACGTCATTTTACCTACTTTTAATATATATCCTAATTACCAACTTCCTCATTGTAAACTATATTCACTAAAGGGGAACAATTCAAATCTATTAGATCATTGAGTAATAATCTCGAATTCCTGAATCTATTGATTTCTAAGCATTCCAAAAGGTTTAGTTTTGAACCTTTCCCTTCCAATTGCAATATGTCATAATCATGATTGAACTCGGGCCCCTCTGTCAAAAGATGATTCGCAAATGTAGAATTGGTGTTTCCATTCAAAAAACTACTTATATGTTCTTTTATTCTTTTGGAAAATGTTCTTCCAGTTTGGCCAATATAAAATTTAGGACAAGAACCACAAACTGAATCGGAAGCAAACATAACAAGTAAAAATTACCAGCTATTAAAAAAATTGTAATCTGTCACAGGACGCCTGGCAGATGTAAAACATCGAAGTTATTTTGTACAAGTATAATGCATAAAAAACGACAGAAACTAATACGGCATAATGTAAAAATAAAATATAACGGTTTTTTTCCAGAAAATGATGATTGTTTATTCAATAAACATTCATTTTCATTAATTACAAAAATAAAAAATTTAATCATTCATTTCAAATTGTGACAACTCAATTCTTTCAATCAGTGACTTCGGTAATAGTTATATTCGATGTTGCCTCTGACGGTATTATATTGACAATTGATCGATGATAATTGAAGTATGTTACAAAAGTATTGGACATATTATCAAGATATCTAATAAATATAGCATCTATTGTTTCAAATCTGATAGTGGGTTCTCTTGGATTCTTGTTAATTTGCAATTCAATTTCTTCTTGGAGGAACGTAATAAATGGCATTGATCTATATTTTGCAAAATTTACATTGAAATACATCAATTTACAATTTACATTGAAAATCAATGGTAGTTTTTCTTTATTGGTTTTAAAAATTGTTGAACATCTGCGACCATACGGAAATAATCTCTCATGTACAAATCTTACCTAGTTATTGCAATATGTTACTAAAGATCTCAAACTATGAATATTAATGTTTCAATATAAATTCCACAATCATTGGAAAATTAATTAGTTAATTGATTTTTTGATATTCCTGTTAATAACAAATAACATAAATATTCGTACGCTACTCGCTATTAGCTGATTTTGAAATACAATTTTGTCAGTCCTTATGAAATTTATTCTTCAAGCAAGTTTTTTAGTGCAGTATTTTTCACAAGAATGAAATTAAAATTGATCAATAATTGATTTGAAAATATTATATACTATGAAAATTGTGTAAATTTTAATCTACCAAGAGAGTAGATTTTACATTTACCGACCCTTGTAACAGACCAAATATTATACGCATGCTCAGTGCACCGATAAATACACACATTAATTATAAAATATAAATAACTCACTGATGACTTGATAGTGTGTAGTAGTGTGATTTTGCTTTCTTTGCAGGGAGCTGCTCAATTTCACTTTCTAAGTTATCACTGTCAAACATATTTTATGTTTGGTTCTTTAAAAAAATATTCATTAACTATAACACAGGTTATGTATACTGGAGTAAACAACACTGTACACACTATAGGTATCCGAGCGAGAAAAATAGTGTAACGCCAACCTAGTGGGAAAAGAATCTATTGATAGAAACAATGATCGTACTTTGATTAACACCCTTTATTCTCTTTCAATATCGCAATTATGATTCGACGTCATAGCTTCCTATGACCGACGGCGGCTCGACAAAATATTCTTCATCAGGTGATTAATTCTTAGATGGCCTCCCTGACAAGGGCGACACTCTCGACAAAGTCAATGCTTGAATTGCAAAGAAAAATTGATTCATCAAATCAGGAAAAAATCTCAGCTTTTACCTGCCTTTCATTTTTTCGATTCTTACGCCGTCACCTGAGACTTCACTTCAAAGGTATTCCAGGGACGATTGAAGAAAACGGAATTTGTCAATATTTAAAGAAACACCTGCGGTAGAAAGTGCGTCTAGTACACGCCGAAGGATATCAAATTCCTCCTCCAAAGTCGCACTAGGTATCAAAATGTCGAGATAAACTAGGGCAGTTGAATCCTTCAGATTACCGAGAACAAAGTTAAGCGATCTCTGAAATGCAGGCGGAGCATTGGCAAGCCTGAATGGCATCCGCAGATAATCAAAGTGACCGTCCGCGCGGCGGATGAATAAATCCCTCCTCGATCGGTATCTGATGGAAACCGAGAGCCATATCCAAAGATGTGAACTAACGTCCCTTGTCCAGTCTGTCCAATTGGTCGTCGATAAGTGGCAGAGAAAAGAGTTTTTCAATTGTGAAGTGGTTAAGTTTGCGAAAATCTACGCACATTCAAAAGCACAGGACTGACAAACGGTGATTCACTTGATGTTATTCCTCACCAAATCTTCTGTTATTTATCGAACTGCCTCCCTTTCATTGATAGCCAGGCGATAGGGAGTACGGTCGACCATAATGTCTATTCATTATCAACTGTTCCCACCAACTCAATGCTATGAAATCATCCACTGTCAATATCACAATTGAAACACGTAAAGTCAAGCTTCCAGCGCACACCAAAGTATATGCACTCTTCCTTCGCGGTGCTATTTTCTCTTATAATTCCCTTAATGGCTCTGTGCAAACTGGAATATGATAATATTGATATTTAAATTATAAGGAAATACTGGAATCTGATATAAACGAAAGACTATACAATTTTTATGCCTTTCATTCATCATACAAACAGATACAAGCAAATATAGTTGCAACATGGTTTTCATTCAAATGCAGATATATATAGCATATTTAGCATATTTCAAATATCTACAACACAATTATCCAAAACTACACCTTCTCTCTCTTCTAGATCCTCCACCTCCTCCTGTAGGTTGGATCTCCATAGTTTCAATTGGTATAGCTTTATGATATTCTGTGGCAGGTAGGTGTATATGTCTGAAAGAAAAGACTTCAAGTCTGCTTCAATCATTAGCACGCCAAGCTCATACTTCTCGCTGAGCTCCAAAAGTTTTCGCACCTCTTCGGCATCACAGCATATACTCAGATAATAATTTGATGAATGTACAGCATCAAAACTCAGATCGGCTAATTCCCAAGACATCCTTCTTATAGCAAAATCCAAATCTACGGCTGAATATGACATCCACATGTTTTTGTAGGAGAAAGAGGTCTTAAAAAACACAAATTGAATTCGTTTGTTTGAAAATGATGATGTACAAAATAAGCACTCACTTGAAATTTGAACATGCTCGAAGTGAGCCGATACGTATTCCATATCAGTCTACCATATTTTCACTATTAACAGATAAATTAGGGCCACTCCAGGAACATTAATCCTTATAATCCTGAGAATTCTGACCTATATAATGTAAACGTTAATTTGGCTTCTGATGAATTCACAAATGATTTCTTCCTTGAATCGCTCTGTGGCATGTTTTGAAAGAAGTATTATTTTCCTCATCCTTTAATGTTATTTGAATAGATTTATCATGTGGAAAATCACTTATTTATCAATAACCAGGGATGTTATAGGATTCTGCTCTAAAGTCGCAGTTTGTTGAATTATTGCGAAATTAATATATTCAATGTCAAATTTCAAATCGTCCATTTCAAAAATATAGTGAAATTATGATTTGAGAATATAAAATATGTTCATCTCTATGACGATCATGTTCACTCCTTGGATTGGTAGAAACTTGCTGTCACCTTGGAATTCACCAAATACTTTAGGTGATCTCAACTGAGTGTGGAAGCATGTTCTCATGGCATGTATAGGAATTATCAACAAGGGGGGGGGGCTATAGTTCTCAAGGTCATGTATTGAGGAGTCAAAGAAGGTCATATGACGCGCACATAGCTCAAGGTCAAGTGTGGCCATTCAAGGCCAAGAATGTTTCCCACAAAAATATACTTACAATAACTCTGTTCTGTCATTAATTATTAGAGTATGTTTTTTTTTGGTCGACAGCTTATGCAGAGCAAGATTTCAAAAAAAAGAAGTCATTTTTCACGCCTAGGCATTAAAAAACTCATTTTTAATGCCTAAGCATTGAAAATCTAACTTCTATGGTCGATAAATGTCACTAAAACTGACGTTTGATGCCAACCAAAGAAAAAATTAGTTACCTGATAGCGCCTGAAATATTCAACATCCAAGTACCAAATTCCAGCCAAGTCGATACATTTGAACATACATTTAGAGTGGTCTGCTGAATGAATTTCTTCATGTTCGTCGACGGTAATGCTTTCCATGCTAGTTGAAATCAATCTGAGGAGGAATTGTTCTCTAAATTCATTCAATTTCTCATCTGTTCTGCAATTATACAACAAATTATAAATTTTCCATTCTAAGCTACCTCTTAATGAAAATACCTACCTGGTGTCAATCAACTGGCATTTTTTCTGAAAATCAAAAAAAAATACACTGACAATTGAAGATGGAAAAAGATTGTCGATGGGCTTCTTGAACTTGATAGGAACCATAGTAATCAACTCTATAACCAAACTGAGCTGACAGTGTGCTTGCAATAACTGAACATTCACTTCTCTTTGATGTACTGCAAGTTCTACTAATGGCTGACCTTCGTATTCCCAAATATTTTCGAATATCAATTCAGGTTCAGGCGCATCATGGCTGGCATATATAGTATGCAGAAAATTCCCCAAAAATGCATCGGAAATTTCTGTAAATGAAGATATTTGTTTGTCAGACAGGCCTGTGTCTTGTCTACAAAGACGTTCTTTTGAAAGTTTTCCCACTTTATTGATGAGTTGACAGATATTTTCAAAGACAATTTTCATATTAGTGTTCCAAATCAACTGGAAAATACCTGAAACGGAAAAATGGTAATCGAATATTTGAAAAGAAGGCTAACTACAACTACAAAAAAAATTATGATCAGTGAGTCATAGTGTAATTATTCAATCACAACTTGAAAGTTATCACTCTTGTAAGGAAACTTTCCTGAACGATGAAATGCACCTTCATCAAATATACTTAAAGGTCCAACCCAAACAAAAAAGAAAATAAGTAGAGAAGAATAAGTCTAACAGTTCTGTTCTCTCATAGGCATTTTTATCAATAATTGTATTTTACTGCAAGTAGATTATGCTAATCCTTTATATATGGGAATGCATACTATACATGATAATGGAAAAATTGTAAAATATAATTAAGATTGAAGGGGTTATATTTTTAGGAGTGATAAATTTTTGGTAATTGTGTGTATTTTCTATAATGTTATCCAATTTGGTACTGACGAGCCCTAAGGCAAGTGTCTTATGGCGAAACATCGATGTGTACCAGTGAGGATGACAGTGTTCCATATAAGTGCAATTTATTACCATTCATTTAAAGTAGAACTCCTGTGAATGATATTTGAATTTCATTCCATAACGAATGTTTGGAATACAAACTGAGTAGAGAAAAGTATCTTCTGTACAATTCAGTGTTCATGTAAAAGTATTTGTTTCGAAAGATTTTTTTTCTTTCGTGTAATTCAATGTTTATATGAAAGTAGCTGTTTCAGGAGGGCTTTCTTCCAGTTTGTGTCTGAAAGTTGCCTCTTTGCATGATCTACACATCAATGTATAGAGTTACTTATTTTCAAATTGATTACTTCCTTCCTTTCTTTGGAAGATTCCCACATTGTTTTTGTATCAAAAAAAAATAATGAAGATATTGCGAAGTTTCATCACTGTCTACTAAAACAGCATGTAGTGAAAAAAAAGCTTACCATTGAAAACTATGTTATTGAATCTCATCACAAAAAATGATATTAACAAGAAACATACATGTTCATGGGGTGTTGGAGGAAATGAACTAACAAGGAATGATATGGATAGGAAAACTAAATGTGTTTTGTTATTTAAACCATGGAGGAGACTAGTAGTAGGCCATCAAATTATTTTTTGTTTATTCATGTGTTGTAATTATTCAACAGAAAAATGTTTACGTTATACATTTATAAAAAGTTATGAAAGTTAAACTTCATTCTGTGTCAAATAACAGATCACTACCAAATATTGCTTCAAATCAACTGTTGAATTTCTAAACAAGTTAAGAAAACCTCAATATAAGGAATGTATTACATAGAAACATTGTTCAAATGAGTAGATTTGACTGACTTCTCAAATGGAACTGACCAATTCTTGACAAAAATTAATATTGAATCTTACTAATAGTTTTCTGTAAAATTCTTGCTCGAGGAAACTATTACATACCAAGACGTGTGAGTATGAAAGAGTGGATTTTCTGTATGCAGACGTCAATGAATAAAAAACTAAATTGGAAAGATGCGACCCTACCGTGATTTGAACCTGGCTCTCGCATTCTCTAGACTACGCTACCAGAGCCACCAAGAAGAATAAAAATAACGATTTGGTGTTGAGAAAAACTCCAGTAATATTCAAGAAGAATAATGTTGAATCACATCTTCAATTCAGTCTTTCGTGGTGTGCAAAAATTATACTTTTTTTTCGATTATGGTGAACTTAACATCTAAATGCATTTCATTAGATCGGACTTCCATTATCTAATATGATATAAAATGATTTGAAATCCCTGAAAGAATCAATAAAATTAAAAGGAATAACTGAAAATAACAATTCACGTTTAGAATAGAATGACGTCATTTTTGGTAATTTTGTATATCCGACATAAGAACGTTAAAATTCCCAAATAAATGCGTTCAATAGCAATGAAACTAGTAAAATTTCATTTTGTAAGTTGCTCAACTGAGTAAAATTTCAAACGTTGCCGAATCGAAAACTTTTCAGAACTAATCATTTCTCTTGATAAGACCTGTGTATATTCAATATGCCTAAAGCATTGTCGAAATAGTCTCAACAAATAATAGCGTCTTTAATAGAATACTTTGAAAGAGAACGCGAGAATGGAGGACCTTTACTTCCAGTAACTGCTGTCAGAGATGTAAGTTATATTAATTGTATCAATTACCTATCCTACATCTATAAGAACTAAACAAAAATTATACAGCGAATATATAAATGTTAGGTTAGATTGAATATTTGTCGATTGTTGATTTCAGAGGGTTGCAGATGCCTTGAAGCTGAATATTATTACTGTAAACCATATTGCGACTAAATCTAATAGAGGTGAAGTATTCAGCAATACATCGAAACAGCGAAAACGGGTGAAACCAGTGGTAGATATTGATGATTTCGATCAAACTGCCATTCGAAATGTGATCTATGACGTGTACAAAACCAGTAGGTATTTTGTATTGATTTATTCAATATAAAATATTTGACGACAACAATAATTTCACGAAAACATATCAATTTGTAAACTTTGAAAGATGAACTGGAAGAACGTGATCTTTTCAAATGTTGTAAGACATCTTTATGGAAAATTCTGAAGAAAATTCGTTTTACATACAAAAGAGATGGAGCTGACTAGTATTGCAATGAAACGTATTCCCTTTTTACATGATTACATGACTTAAGAAAGAGGGTTTAGGCCAGTTTGTATTCTTGGATGAAACTTGGGTATTCAAAGATGGTACCACCAGGGCGATCCTAGAAATATTCCAACGTAAAAAGTGTCATAAAGACTAAGGTTGGTGGTGCAAGGTAAATACAACCATAAAATGAAAACAAAATACACTAGCTGATTTTTTTTATTTCAAGATATATTGTACTTCATGCTGGATGCGGTACTGGGTTTATTCGTGGGGTACTCCTAATTATTTGTTCCAAAACAAAGAATTGTAATTACCACGGAAAAAAGAAACAACAAAATTTTCTGCATTGGTTTGAATACAAACTATTAATAAATTTAGAAGAACCTTCAGCTCTGCTCATTAATAAGGCAAGTTATCACAGCACTGTTATTAATGAAGCCCCAACATCAACATCGAAGAAAGCTGATGTCCAAGAATGGTTATCAAAAATAACATTCCCTTTGAAAATACTTTTCTCAAATAAGTTAATGAGATTGTTATTCAAGCTGAATTAATACATTATAAATTTACGTTGTAGGAATAAACCACTATCTATATATGAAGCTGATACGCCTGCAGAAAAATATGGGCATCAAGTGCTTCGTCTTCCACCGTATCACTGCATGTTCAATCCCACTGAACATATTTGGGGATTAACAAAAAATGTTTATAGGGATAATGTGGGAAGAGATGGCACTTCAGCTGACAAATCCCGGGCTATATGGAAAGAAACTTTAGACAAAGCTACACCTGATGTATGGGCTGAAACTATTCGACATACCGAACAAAACATAAAATTATATTGGGATAGAGAAGTTGGGTTTGACAGGAAAAATGTTCAGATGATGATTATGACAATGATGATGACGAATTGTAATTAAAAAATATATACAATTAAACGAATTTAAATGAAATATTTTATTTTTCATTAGTTATTATGAAAAAAAAGGTGAAGTGCCACTGTTTCAATTAGGTAAGTTAATAGTAGGTAAGGTTAATAGCAATAAAACAAATCAACAGTAGAAAAAAATTTTAAAGTTCAAAATAGTGTACATGTTGGCAACGCCGTAACGTGTCATCTTGTGACATCATTCTCTTCTTAACGTGCATATCCTATAAACGAAAAACCCTGAACTGAAATTACAATGAAATAAATACAAGCAACAATTGAAAATTGAACAATCAACAAGAAATGAAAAAATCAAAAATTAAAAGTTGAAAGATTTCAAGCCAAGTTACATCATGACGTTTTGATTGTTAGTATCCACAATCGTCTTCGGGTGATGACTAGACTATTCCTCCGAGAATACAGAACTAAAAACCTTCCGTTACTTTCACAATGAAGAACGAAGTCCACAATGATTTGCCATTCTTAGACATATTGGTGAAGAGGACCAACACTAAGTGGGAAACATTTGTATACTGAAAACCCACTCACGAGAGACAGTACCTGAATCACGAATCCAACCCCCATTAATTTACCAAAAGAGGAATCATCAAGACTCTAGTAGACCGTGCTTTCGGGCTATGTAATACGAAGAAATGTCTCGAGAAGGAAATAGGCATCATCAAAAAAGATCTTCAACAAAATGGTTACTCCAAAGTGATAGTGGAACAGACTTTAGCTAGAAGACAGCAATAGCCTCGCGAGGAAGAGAAGCCTTCACAACCAGTGCTTGCACTTCCCTACATCAGAAGATTGTCAAAAAGGATAAGAAGAATTAGGTCCAAATACAACATCAGAACTAGCTTCAGATCCGGAGGAAATCCAAATAAGCTGCATATATGTTGTCCAACGATGCATTCAGTCAATGTAGCATAGAGATACGCAACATATAGAAACCCATAATCAAGTGGAAAACGGTCAACTCCCGCCAAACGGTCATCGCCCGCTCAACCGGTGAGAGGGAAAAGGGGGATTAGTGAAAATCTTCAAAAAAGACGACTGCAGTAGATTAATGCGGAATATTTCGTAGTCTAATTGATTTACCACTTCGCCATGAAATATTCAATCTTCTGGCATGGGGCATTGTAAATAATCTGACTTCTCTTCTATTATGATATAGCAATTATTCATACACACAATCACAAATGTCATAACCGCAATTGTTTTTTCAGGAACCATGACAACTGTTATAACCCAACAAACAAAACGTAATTTTTTGATGTTTCAATAGTTTTTATGCTATTCCGGGCAGAGACTTATACAACTTATACAAAAAAAATCATGAAAATCGGTCTAGCCGTTTTCGCGACGCATGATTTTGCTACTTTGTTTTATTTGTCTGTAATTTGTTTAGTTATGTTCCAAATGTTTCAAGAAACGAATCCATGATATGAAAAATCATGAAATAAGATCAGGTGTTATAATATCCAAGAAGAATTATATAGAAAAAAAATAGAGATCCAAGAATATCTAAAAACTGTCAAATTTGGACTTCATACAGCATACCAAAATATACAAATATTTTGAAAAGCGACCTTTACCTCATCAGGTACTTGTTAAAGCCAACATCCTGCCATTGTGTCGAATTATTATTATTATTACTCTTTATTAGCAAATAATGCTCTTCATAGTACAGTCAGTCACTTATAAAATATAAAACAAAAAAAAAGATAAAAATAGAGACAAGTCACATTTTAAAAACAAGAAACTAGAAAACAAGACGAATTATTGTTGACTATAACTTGAAATATATTCACTACATTTTCTTTTGAATGAATTTAATGAATCACACCTTTTTATATGACTTGGAAAATTATTAAATGCAATCAGACCAGAACTATACAACGAGTCACAACCTATATATGTTATCTGTTGATATAAAAATTTCCTATTCTATTTCTAGTGGAGTGTGTATGAATACTACTTGTGCAGGTTAACTGATCACTCAGATAATTTGGCAACATATTGTTTTTAATTTTAAATATAAATATTAGCATATTCAGTGTTTTCCTTAGTTTAGCAGATATAAGAGACAGTGTTTCCAACATGTATTCCATAGATGTGTGTTTATTACAACTTAATATTGCCCTCATGGATCTGTTTTGAAGCTTCTGTAGTCTGTTTAGATTGTTATTACTACTTTTCTGATATACTCACCTTGTTTAATTTTCACCTCTTTAATTGAATTGAGACATTGCACTGCTGCTTCTAAGTTATCTAAATTCTGAATGTTCCTTTGCCATGCCTGAGCATATTCCCAAGCCATATTTGCCAGCAGAGAACTACTTTCCAGGCTATAAGGAAATTTTGTTTTCAACAAATTTAATTGCTGAAAAATTTTTTCATGGTTAATATCATGGTCCAAATGGGCATATGCTGGTTCGGATTCTTTTTTATCATCTTCAAGTGTTTCATTCCAATTAATATTATCCTGATTCACTCCCATTGATGTGAACCACTTTGCCACTAATTCAGTTACACTACCTCTTCCTTGTTGTAAAACATATTCAAGGCTCACATTTATATTATCAATTTGGAGCTTCGGTAGGGGGCAGTCATTAACGGTTGGTTTAGTAGAGAGAATGATGCTGAGAAACGAAACATCTTCAAGTTTTCCTGTTGAAAAGAGTAAATATTATTTTTTTAAATAAACACAGACCCATCAGCCCCACCACTATTCCACCCTCTGAAATTATAAATACGTTGCTGAGACTTTGAGATACAACCTTCATAGAGCAAAAATTATGAAAACTGTTTCAGCTTCAGAGTGTACAGTTCCTTAAATGGATTGAATATTATAAATATAATAAAAAGATAGTAATGAGATCTGCCTCTCCAAATGGTCATGAAAATTTTTCTATCAAACTAATTTCAGACTTTTAGAGTAACGATGCTAGACCTTAGGGATGAAGTGACACCTTAAACTGGATGATGTCATCTGATAGGTTACTTATGATGTACTGTTTGGAACCTTTGGTCTAGTAATGAATATTACTGGAGTTTTTTCCCAACACCAAATCGTTATTTTTACACCTCGACACGTGTTTCGATCACCAAGTGATCATCTTCAAGAGGAAGATTAAACTAGAAACTACTCAAAACTAAAGCTATTTATGCTATTTTGGTACGTCATACAGGTAGGTAATCAGTAATACCACTCATAGAAGTGTACCACCCTAAATTAATTTTACAATTGGCCTTTCTATTATTTTACAATATGTCCTTATGTATGTTTGAATGTTACAACTATTTTCAGCTATATAAAATTAGTTTCACAATATTGCCTATCTAAATATATTTACAATGTTTTTTTTTGTAGTAATCAGTAAATCCAACAATATTATTTCAACAAGCTATATAGTATGCTATTTGGTATTGGTCCGTTATCGTTATTCATAATTTAATTATGTTTACTCATTTCTACACTCTCATAGGCATATAGTTGCCTGTTGTTGTTAACTTGTCTAACTAATCTTAAAGAACTGAAGTCTTTGGAATGGTTTTGTTGCAAAATATGTGTTCCTTAAATCTCACTTTAATAGATCTTTTTGTCTGTCCATAATATTTTGCATCGCAGTCCTTACATTCAATTTCGTAAATTCCAGACTTTTCCGAATTCTCGACTTTGTTTTGGACTTCCCAAAAGGCTCTGCAGTGTATGACTTGTTTAAATTACTGATTACCTACCTGTATGACGTACCAGAATAGCATAAATAGCTTTAGTTTTGAGTAGTTTCTAGTTTTATCTTCCTCTTGAAGATGATCACTTGGTGATGGAAACACGTGTCGAGGTGTAAAAATAACGATTTGGTGTTGGGAAAAAACTCCAGTAATATTCATCTGATAGGTTCTTGAGTTTGAAGTTGAGAAAAGCGACACCTGAAACTAATAGAAGTCACACCTAGACGAAAGCGTTTGAATGAACAGAAGAAGATGAATTTAATTGAAACATCACAACCCTAAATAAAGAATTCTACAAGAAATATTTGTTGGATGAGATAGGATTCAGAGCTCAGGGCAAGGGGAGGGATTGAATGATTGAACAGTGGCAAAGATCATTTGAAAATGGAGAAATCTTAGAAAAAGGTAAAGTGACAAGGGTGATCTCCAAAATCGGTGCTCGTGGTTCAGCTAATGTGAGGGATTAAGTTAGTTCAACATCCAAACCTGGAAACATCTTCGATAAACCGCAATGGTAACAGCCTCTCAAGGATGTATGTTTTATCAGCGCAAGCGAAAGAAAACGCCCACATGAAAGATTGAAATGTTAAATAGCCCTGTCATTTGTTTGAATGTGGTCATGTAGCTTTTACACGAAGATAGCGCTCTCACCAAGAGAGTAGAAACCTTCAAGCATATGGATACAAATAACAACCAGAGGATATTTTGGAGTGATACTGTTCTGTTCTCTTTGTTAGACAAACTCACCTATTAACATTGACCATTCCAAAATTTCCTGTGTCAACACCTCCATATTGAAATCGTCCAAATTTGAAGATTCATCCGAGTGCAATTCAGTTTCGATGACTTGGGTCACTTGTTTACAAACAGTAGCAGCTGTGAGTGCAGACAAAGGTCTGATAGACTTTGCCAAGAGGGAACGAACCTCACTCCAAAATTGTGAAATTTCACTATACTCTGTTTTGATAACTTCTTCATCAGCAGTTTTGGCTATAGTGTAAATCAATTTGGATAAATTACCTAACTCTTTTTCCAAACTATCCTTGATATGCATTGGTCGGTTAACCCAAAAATTGATGAAGAGGTGAAATAAATACTTTGTAGCAAGTCCAGTTTTCATGATTTCCTTTTGAAACACTTCCAAATTATGGTTTCCTGTAATATAAGGCTTGAATAAAACTTCCGAAGTTTTATACAGACTGGTCTCGCTCACGGTTTCATTGAGATGTATACCATCATTTTTGGATAGATCGAATACTGATAAAAATTCAGCGGAAGAGAATGATGAGTCTTCTGTAAAAGACACATGTACCTCACCGAGATTAACATCACTATTCACATCTCTCAAATCCAATAACCGTTTTATAGTTTCCATTTCTTTTTCATCTATAAGGAAAATCTTATCTTGCTGAGTTGAGCCGCCGCTTTCCATGTCACGATCAGATAGGCTAGTAGCAAATAAATATAATTTCAGTAAAGTAGAAGCCTTTTCGCACCTAGATTTCAGATGTTCTCCTTCTTCAGTAAGATCATCTGCTAAGTTGTGTTGTATGCACTCAATACAATTTAAATTATCTGTGGCAGAAACACTTTCAGTTCCTAATAGCATATCAATTGTTTGAGACTGAAATTCAATTGTTTTTAACTCTTTACAAGTATTAGTGGCTTCCCTTATCAACTTTTCCTTTTCGGTCTCACCAGATTTAATAAGATTTCGTAACTTTTTATACAGATGGATATCTCTGATACGTTTATTATTTTTCTCAGGCAAAGCAAAATGAAATGGTATTGAAATTCCCTTCATCTGACCATCATTGTCAATGAGAATGGTAGTGTACGGACAAATATATTTACTTCTTCTTGATGTGGTGAATCCCATTAGGCCATAATTAAAGTAATGTAAAATACTATGTTTGGAAGCTGTGAAAGTAGCTATCCTATTTCCCAGTTGTAAGGAAAAAATCTCCAGAGTACCCTTTTTAGGGGAATAAATGTTTAAAAACGTTGCTACTTTATCACCAGATTTATTTTTTCCTTTTTTTTCTTCGAGAACTTGAGTGAAAGAACACTGAGCATCCCTGTAACCCTTAAATATCTTCAAGGTTATTCCTCGCAAAGAATCAACAACTAAAACTCGACCAAGCGCATCACATACTGCTACTAGTTTGTGATCTGGAGACATGATTATTTCTGTAGAAGTACGTTCCAGGTCGCATAGACCAAACTCATATAGCATATTTTCAGCAGGTTGCATGGCTAATGGTATCTGTTTTGGTGGTTGAGATTTTGTACCAGTGAGCCATTCCCTACAAAATACAGAAAAGCGATTTTACTACAAAATAACTATACATATATTTTGAGAAGCAAGTTGTTCATATACACAAACGAATAGTGAATGAAAAGAAGAGTATACAGAACAAATAATATAAACACACTGTCGGGGGAGGTTTAATGTCTGGGAGTAATTCTAGATTCCAAACTGACCTGGAACCAACACTTGGACTGGATAAAAAGGAAAGCGGAGGTAGCACTGTTGCTCGCCAGACGCACCTATGAAAAAACATGGGGCTAAAACCAAACATGGTATATTGGCTATACATGATGGTGGTTAAACCCATGATATCATACACATCTATGGTCTGGTGGCCAAAGATGAAGCTAAAGATGACACCCAAGTCAATTTGGCAAGTTGACTTGGGTGTCACACCACTAGGTGGTTCCACTTATGTCTCTCTTGCGTTTACGCAGTTATTTCTATTAAGTACTTTTCTTGGTTTTTCACATTTTATTAATTAGGGAAGCCACAGATTATGCTGTAGACGACCCCTCCCGATATAGAAGGCCCCGACACTCTGTCGAATGAGGCCTTCATGTCCCCCGTTAACGGATGAATAACTTTCTCATCCATCCCACCCCAGCCAGGTAGGGGTATCCCGTGAAGGGCGGCACTGATATCTAAGGACTTCATGCCGTCATCAATCAGTCATGAACCCATTGGTCCCTCTCAAGATCAACAATCAGCCAAAAGGGTAGGGGAGCTGGTCTCCAAACCTGGAAGAATTCACGATGACATTCTGGTCACATTTCATCTTCAATCGAGGACCGCCTGCCCGGTACTGATGATGCCCAATAGGCTGAAACAGCTGTCTACCGGTGGCTCTTAAATTGATATCAATATGGGAATGATCAGAATGGTACTTATTTATTATTCTTTTGATTTTCATGGAATTATTTTCCATATACAAACCGAAAAATCCACTATACAGTATCCATAAAATTGAATGAATATTGAATTGAAAGTAACCTATAATACAAAAGTACATAGTGTCTGAAATAAAGGATGAACTAAAATCAAACACAATAACAAAAAACTGATTAACAATTATCGACTAAATATATGAATGTATTATAATTAATAATAATGCGTTTTCAATCGACATAGAGGAGAGTTCTGCGAACTATTTTTTCTCTCGAAGGGTAAAATGAATAATTCATGTGCTCTTATTGTTCTATTCGGAACATTGAAGCCAATAATGAATAGAGAAGATGGACAATTTATTTTGTTCGTTATTATTTTTGGTAAAAATAAAATATCTGATATGTTACGCCTATGTTCCAACGATTCAAACTAGAGGTCTCGTCTATTTCGCAGAATATCATCGTTTTCATTGATTCAAATACCTTGTTTAAAAGGTATTCGTGAAAAGTCGGTCTTTTTAAGATGTTGAACTTTGGAAAATACATATGGATGAAACTTTCAGTTTCGTAAAAATCTTATTATAGATGTCTGAAATATTCTCGATTCTGATGCTACTTGTCTGGTAGATATTCTTGGGTATGCCAGAGAATATCCCAAAATTGCAATTTCAATAATTCTATAACTGGTTAATTTTTCTGTACTCTTGCTCGAACTGATCCAAATTTATTGAAATTTTGTATACTATTTTTGACAGAATTTGCTGATGGTTTCTTTTTTTCCGGAAATTAGGTGGCAAATGTATCACATATCTTTGAAATTACTTTATCACATTCTCTGTAAATAATAAATAAATGGCAGATAGGATGGTTTGTCTAATTCAATCGTTCCGGCATGATTCATTATTGACAACTNACAACCCACTTCATCCAAATCAGCATGAATATACCCCGGGAAGGTCTACTGATTCGGCCCTTCACTATGTGGTTGTCAGAATCGAGAGATCATTGGACAACAAAGAATCCACCCTGGGTGTATTTATAGATATCGAGGGAGCGTTTGATAAAACAACCTTTCCAACAATTACCCAGCAACTACACTCCAGGAATGAACCCCTGGCAGTAAAAGAATAGATACTCAAGATGCTCTCTAGTAATGCAATAATTATCAATGTAGAAGACATCACAGTGGGAGGACCGGTCATGAGGGGATGTCCACAGGGAGGGGTCTTATCACCCCTTCTCTGGAACATAGTTCTGGATACCCTGATTAAGCACTTCAACAATAATGAATTCTACACAATTGCATATGCAGATGACATAGTTTTCATGCAGACCGGCAAATTTGTGAACACACTGTGCGATAGAGCACAGGATGGGCTCAAATTAATAGAAACATGGTGTAAGGAACACTAAATGTCAATCAATTCCAAAAAGACGGAGATGGTTCTTTTCACCAGAAAAAAACGTTTATCGGGCTTAAAACCTCACGAAATCTTCAAAAGCAAACTAAACTTCTCTGAAAAGGTGAAATACCTTGGTACTATCCTCGACAGGAAGCTAACATGGAACTCTCACCTACAGAGTAGAGCAAAAAGAGAATATGTGGCTTATGAGTAATGTCGGAGGACAGTAGGAGGCGCATGGAGTCTTTCACCTCGTGTGGTACCTGGATCTACACTGCAATACTAAGACCTATGTTAACGTACGGAGCCATTGCATGAGGACCGAAAGTTCTACAAGCAACATCACAAGAGCCATGAGAACAACCCGTACCGCGGCAATGGAATTGATTACTGGTCTGACCCCTCTGGAACTGTACGTTAAAGAGGTTGCGTTAGTGGCCATGTTAAGATTGCGCATGGCTGGTGTAAAACTCGAAGTAGGAATGGGTCAATTGAAGCTGAGCCTATGGCAAGAAGCGCTTACTGCGCAACCTCTGCTGCAGGCAACCAGTGATGCAATTGAACCCAGGTTTGTGTTTAATAAACCTTACAAAATACAAATAAAACAGAACACCGAGTGAGATGCTACAAATGCAATACGCATATATACAGACGGCTCAAAAACCAAAGAGGGCTGAGGAAGTGAAGTGTACTCCAGATCATTAAGCCTAAGGATTAAGTGGGGAATGGGAAAAAATACCAGCGTGGTCCAAACAGAACTGGCTGATATCTCAAAAGAAATAACCAGGAAAAGAATTTCTGGCAAAAACACAACAATCTGCACTGATAGCAGACAAGCCCTATTAGCCTTGAACAGACAACGTGTCACCTCAGAGCTATTACTAGAGTGCCAACAAGATTTAGCCAAAGCCTCGGTAGATAATAACATTATCCTGAGGTGGGTTAAAGGGCATGACAGGAGTGAAGTTAATCGCATTTCCGACTCTTTAGTCAAGGAAGCGGCTGGACTAAGAATTTTAGGACTCAGTGGCACCTACGGCCTGATGACTTCAACAACAATTACGGAACTAGCCAAACATTACACCCAAGCTCAACCGCTAAAGAGATGGGATGGAATCAAAGGATGCAAGTTTGCACAGTAGTAGGATTTCTGACTGGCCACTGTCAACTAAGGAAACACCTCCTTAAGATGGGGCTAGGACACACCACTATGCAGGATGTGTGAATAGGAAGATGAAACTGTCAGGCATGTCCTATATGAATGTCCAGAGTTATCGTCGGCAAATCTTGGCCTTCACCTGCCGATATAAAGGAGATGTCTCGCAGAGACCTGTCCACCTTTCTGGAAAGGACAGGATGGACGATGACCTAGGAGGACAACTCCTTGGGAGGATGTACAATGGGTCACATGTGGCCTAAGTGCTGTGAGCCTACACTCACCCTCTCTACTCTACATATACAGATATACAGAATGGTCTATGGTACGTGGTTAAGACCGTATATCTTGTAACAAGATGTGTCTAGGTACGTCACATGAACTTTACAATTTTTGGCATAATAAAAAACAGACGCTCTTAAGTAAGTTAACAATAAAAGTATTGGGATTTTTTTGCTGAGGATTTAGTTGTAAATTTAACGTATCGTGACCGAATACCATTAGTGTACAAGTTTTCAATTCCAAACTAATGCAAAGAGAAATAAACACAAAGAAATATTCAAGACTCTTGCTCGAGCCCAAGGATTCATGAACAATGAATCAAAACTAATAGTTTCATAGTGAAAAATTATTGAGATATTCAAACAGATTTCTTAAAACAACTTTTTTGTATTTGATAATAATAATAGATAGTTTAAAAACACAATCTTCACTTACATTACTAAATTAATCTTTGTTATCGAATTCCAAGTTATGTTTCACAAGAAGACCCCCACTCATCGTTTGTTTTTCCTACAATAATAACTTACTACAATCCACTTAGTTTAAACACATTTGCTTCGGTTTCTGTCTGCCAGGATTCGCCTTTTTCCTTATGCTACAGGCATTTATATTTACTATTCTGAGATCACTAATTTCCGAAATAGTATGCATTTTATTGAAGGTTTCATTATTTATCCTTAAATAGTAGGCAGAATATTTTGAATGTGGTCTTTTAAAGATGAATGTTAAGCCGACAATTTATAATTTGTGGCTAAAAGAACCATCAACTTGTGTTGATTTCAAGAACTACTCTCGAATTTCAATAAAATGTTAGCTTATTATCTTTATCATACCCAAGAAATCTTAAAAAGTCTTGCTCATTTTTTACCTTTACTCCAATTTTCGATGTAAAGAAAGTTTAGCAGGGCTGCAAATATCAACCTAATCAAGTTGATACCCTTCTAGAGACATTAATTCAAGGTTGTATAATCTTAGTTTGGCTAAAGCATCAAAAAAGGAGCTAAGTTTGGTTGTACTACTAGTTGGTTTCACTAATTGTTGATGTGATAGGAAAACACCTTCGCTATTGACCTCATCTGTTGGTATCTCTTTAATAACTCCTTCAGCCAATCATTCTCAGAAGACATCATTATATAGTATCCATCTTTGTCCAGTTTTCTCATTAAAGAGTATAGAAAATTCTCAATCATTCTGAAATTTTTCGATGAAGAAGGATGACCCATGATCCACTGCACATCAACTTGATATCTGCCATCAATGTCTTTCCTAACTGGTTTCATAGTCTCTCATTTTCTTCACTAAGATCTGTAATTGAAGATATCACTTCAGACTGTAACATAGAATTAGATTTTTCAATCATTGAAAAAGGATTTTCTGTTTTTCCTATGAAGCTCCAACCAGAATTAGTTTTCATGAAAAATAAATCATACTTTATAACATAGCAATGGTCAGATAACAGTTTTCTGGCTACATAAATCTATAGGAATGTCAATTGGACCTGTCTCAGTTATATGGATACTCAATTCATAGAGTTGTTGCATCTAGTGGGTTAAATAATTCGACAATGCAATAATATTTTCCATGCAGGCTTTGTAAGTTCACACTATAACAACAATGAAAAATGGCGTATGATTCTATTTCTCCAAAAAGTGCGTGTACCATTTTTACTGATCCAATGGGCCCAAATTTCATATCTGTGGCTATAATTTATTAATATATGATCTTTTAGAACCATTATATATCAATCAATACTCGTACGTATCTTGATAAGTTTCTACCATGTAGATAAACAATAAGAGCCTGCTTTCCAGTTTCTATTGATTCCAGGCAACTAAGAACAGAATAGCCAGATGGAATTTTGAATAAATCAGAGGCAGATATCTCTCCTATATTTTTTTAACATTTAGGTATGCATTAATCCGGTACGGTGGGAAATTCGTTAGATATCTCTTTCGTTCCAAACTTCTGATGTTCCGAACTAGAGGTTGCAAGTTTGATTCTTTCTTCTTTCTCAACTTCGGTACATAAAAATACTATGAATGCGCTCCTTCAATGAAACTTTTAGGGGAAAAGTAGGGTTTTTCTGCCAAACACGCGATTTTTTGGTTAGATATGATTCAATCAAAGGATAGTTTTTCTCCAGAAGGAAGTCAACTTTTAACAATCTAAGAATGTATCAGACAGAGTTTAAGATCAGCTAAGGACCCCAGAGAACCTTTAGCAATTCCCGGGGTATACCAGATTCCTTGTAGCTGCGGGTTGGTCTACATTGGAACCACGAAAAGAAGTGTGGGTACCAGTCTCTCTGAATACATGAGAAATTTTCGACTCAGACAAACCAACAAATCAGCTGTTGCCGAATATGAACTCAACAAGGTACTCACATAATCACATTCGAAGAAACAGTAATACTCAATCAAACTCGAAATTACTATCGAGAGGCAAAAGAAATAAAAAAAAACAGGAATACTTTCAAAAACAGGCAATGCAATCTTACTACCTGTCCTTGCAGGTACACAAACAAGGTCAGGTAATCCAATTGAGAGAAACCAAACTATGCCCGCTTATAATAATATAAAACCAGAGTCAAATATGAACATCGTAGGTAATGCAGTCGAAACAACAGGAACAACAATTCAAGCACCAATTCGGGCACTGCGACCGTTACCACAATGCGTTTGATAAGGTCTGCCGCAGTAGTAGACGAAACGTCAGGCATAAAATCCTGCAAAATAGCTTTCACAAATTTCATCAAAAAAATTCTCAACTCTTTCTCAAAGAATGTCAAGCCTTCTTTGAAGAATTTAGAGTTTTCCTTACAACTCAATCAAATCTGGATTCGCAGAATGTGATATATTTACTGCCATCGTGAATTCTAGTGAATGAGGTCTTAAGCATATCCAATGCTTCATCAGTTGGCCCATTTTTATTTGTTCAGTCACAATGGCCAAAATATGTTGCCATTATCAACTCGATTGGTATAGTAATCTATCAAGTAGCAGAGTAGCAAGAAAATAGATAAGCATCACTAAGAAACATAAAGTTGCAACATATTTTCGAAATTGAACAGTGTCTTACATTCCATCAAAAAAAAATCAAAACAATTCAACATCAAAGCTAATCGAACATATGATACTCCATGGCAATTTCAAACAAAGTTAACTACACTGAAATATGAGTTTCTCAATGGATAGCAGATATTCGATTAAAATATCCAACAACTTCATTTACATAATGCTTTGTTAAGAGATTTTCACTGAACAATTTACAATTTAAGAAAAATGTGTCAGTATTCTTCAGAAAAATTGCCTTCTGAAATGCATTTGGAAATCTCATTTTATTAAATAGCTGGGATCATTAATATTCCGAATGATATTCGAAAAGTGTCAGGGATATTTGGTAATATTTTGGTTAAAAAACGTATATTTTTAATGTACAAAGTTCAATTAGAGTTGGGATATTAATATTTTCATTTCATATCATGGAATTGGCTGATATTTCCACTGGACAGTTCACAAAACCACAACATGTGTTTCGCTATACAATAGTTTCCTTAAACATTTTCATAAAACATGTATGAAAATGCTTGATACTATTGTTTAGTGGACCACGTGTCGCAGTTTTGTAAACTGTTCGTTTTCTTTCATATCTTGATCTGTTTCAGTAAAACTTTTTCATTATTCTCTTATTGTAACTGAAAAATTACTTTTGAATTTTGAAGGTTTTTTGGATGATTTTTGAATATATTAATATCATTCATATAACATATAAGAAGACTAAATGTGGATACTTTGAGTTTAAAAAATCATTCATATACCTATAATATTTGATAAAAATTGTTTCTTAGGTATTTTACTTACGGCAATGCTGATATCAGTTTACTAGCAACTGCTTTGGCAACATCAATTAGTTCGTGCTGATATCCTGCTTCAGGAGCATAATGATATCCCAAAAATGGTTTAGAACCAGCTGCTAACACCAGAGTGATAAGAGGTGTCTCCAATTGTCTCCGGGTATCAAATCCCCCACAAGTGGAAATTGAAGTCAAATAGTCGAAAGTACAAGGAAAACCTACACCAACTACTGCACTGTCATTTATAACAGACTGGTCTTGGAATCCCCATTTCTTGGGAAGTATGACTGGAGTATGATTTAATGTAACACCTTTGTCAAATTCACTTTTGATCTTTTTCAACATAGGGAAAAAATCTGCTCCCCTTAAAAAGCATATAATACTTTGATACTGAATATATATTTTTTCTCCAGAAAAAATTGATATGTCTGATCTCGAATTATGCTGAGACTGGCATTTTATTGAAATAATTTTTTCAGCATGAAATTGTTCCTCGAAAAGAATTTCGCAAGTTTCTGTATAGCACCTAACATGCCCTGAATCAAAACCCACTAGAATGCAGGTCCAATCATGTGTTTTGTCTTTATGATCAATGATCGGTATACAAACAAGTGCTTTAACTTTGTCATATTCATGAATACTTCCAGAGTAAGTGATATGAAAATAATCCAAGGAGGATTCAGAGTCCCATTTGGAAGTGAGAATTACAATTTTCCTCTCATTTGCTATGGCAATTACATCGCCAATAGGTGAAAGAGATATTTTACACAGTTGTAACCAGCTGTCAGTACCTACAAATAATTGAATATAATAAAAAATTATAAGACAATAAAATTACCAAACCTCTTTGATCATCTGTTGGGAATAAACATCTCCTTATTTCATCGATTTCTTTTATGTGAGCTATCAAGCGAACCTCACACGACATTTTTGTCGGAAATATTTATGAGAATTTCCGAATTGCATGCCTTTGTCAAAAAATCAAAATCAAACACTTTTTCATAACATATCTGTAAAACTGCCTTCTGTGTGTATTTGACAAATGACCAGATGACAAAAAAGGTTTGAATGACGAACTTTTCTAACAATGTTGCCAGGTCAAATCACCTTTCCTCTAAATAGTCTGAATCTACGGATACTAAATTTCTCAAGATAGGTAAATTACTGATGTCAATTTCTTTTTTATCTTTTTCAGGGGCATGCTCATTTAAAGTCACCCAATAAACATAGCCTGAAAATTGAAGAATGTCAGGCCTATACAGAAGGCACAGAAAGTTTTGAACGACTGAATCAATCTCGGCCCAACCTTTAAAAATATTATCATAATAAGGCTGGGGTATTCTCCCTGTACTCTAAAATTTCAAAAAATGTCATTAAAACTTTCTCTAACTTTTCATAGAAACTTTCTATAGTTTTCGGAAACAATACAAATGTAAAAGTTGAAATGAATTATTCCATGCATCTATGTCAAAAACCAATTATCAAATTATCATAAAAGAAGACCTGTTATATCATTTTAATAATATTTTTATCAATTTTGTCTTCAATTTGTTAACATGACCCTGTAGATAACAAAACAAAATGTTTGGTTCACTCGAAGCACTCGAGAGCCTAAACGAAGTAGTTTGGATTAGGGAAGAAAAAGAATAGCTCTAAAGAGCTAGAACTGAAAGAACCACTGGAAGAAAAGAACCGTAGAGAGTTGAAAAGAGGGAAAAAGCTGACAGTTTACACCTTCAACTCGAATAAGAACTACGTAAAGCCGAGATAGATGCGTAAGGAGGCACCAGTTAGGCTCAATCAGAAGCAAGGAGCGAAAATATCAGGAGAGAATTAGTTGAAGAACAAGAAAAAAACTGAGAAACCCACTGACAATATCTCCAAGGTAGAAGGACAATTTCGTAAAGAGAAACCAGGCAATATCATCAAAAGAAGTACAACAGCTGCAACAACTGTTGCAAAACTTCCCAGGACGTTTTCTCTCACAGTTTCAGCAACTCAAACCCCACCATCACATGAAGTAATGAATCCAGATAAATTTCACATGCGAAAAATATTAGAAAAGGATTTTCCACAGTTTGATGGCAGTCCCTAAGATTGGCTCCTGTTCCATAAGTCTTTCAAGAATCTCCACAAGTTTCGTGTCTACGGCAATGAAGAGCTCATACTGAAGCTGTAGAGATTTCTGAAAGGGGAAGCAGCGACAACAGTTGCAGGAATGATGTTAACTGACAATAACGTAGACTTTGTGATTGAAACTTTAGAGAAAATGTTCGAAAGTCCTGAATACATCATAGACACTTTGATGAACAGAATCAATAACCTTCCTTACATAAGAGAAAATAGCTTTGTGAAGCTGATTCATTATTTTACAGAGGCAAGCAACATGGTTTCAATCATGAAAAGTACAGGAAGTAAACGTTATCTCGAGAATTCCCAATTTATCCAAGAATTACTAACGAATATTCCGGTTTCAATGAAATTAACCTGGGGTGAAAAGGTAGGAATGAAAAATGGTGATATAAATTTAGAATATTTATCTTTGTAGTTGAACGTGAAAGCAAGCTTTGTATGTAATGTTAGTACCCCATACAATGAAACATTCTCACACAAATTTACAAATCAAGTAAAGGGAAATGAAAGAGTATACCATAGTCTCACCCAAAACATTCACAAGACGTGTGTTTATAGTGACAAAATACATCAAGAAAGCTTTTGTCCACACATGAATTTTGATGACTATGAATAAGAGATGGAAAACGGTTACCGAAAAAAAAAACTATGCCTCAGTTGCATTCAAAAGAATAATAAAAAATTCAAATGTGTAAAGAGGAAGGTTTGTGGAACGAACGGCTGTGAACTTCATCATCATATCCTTTTATCACACGAAGAATTGAAAGTCAATAGAATTCAGGTAGCGATAGGAAGAGATACTAATCATAATAATCGAGGAAGTGTATACTCTGTTAATAAACCTTTCACTACAATTCTACTGAAAGTATTTCGTATAGAATTATACGTTTCATGAAGTTTTGTCCTTATTCTTGCTCTTTGTGATGAGGCGTTTACGGTGACACTATTAGATGCAGAAGTAGTAGACACTTAGGCTAACTAGAACGAAGGAATCACTTTGTCTACAATGGACAAACAGATATGTCATGGTGAACAAAATTCCGTTCGTTTAGACGTGACTGTTTCTAAAATTGTTGTCCGATTGGAAAAATTTCCAATAAAAGATATAGATCACGAAAAACATTCACTGCTCATTGGACAATATAACATACTTCTGATAGTTGCGAGACAGATAAGAAACAGCACAAAAAATATTCCTGTAGCCAGTAAATGTAAGTTACATTGCTGGACCTGGCGGCGTAGGCACAGCATTGATAGAGCCATCCAATGGCTCTGAAGCAAGAATTTTCGTGACCAGATCCCTCGTAAATGGTAACAATCAGATCATTTCAGTAAGAATAATCAACTCTTATGATAACAGGGTGACTATCAAAAAGGACAAGTCGTAGGCACCTGCGAACCGATCGTGAAAATTGCCAGAATCGAGAAAGAAGTCCCTCAAGAAGACGTGGAGCCAATCGTGGATGGATACTCTCCTGAAGTCTCCAACAAAAGTTACTTATTCCTAAAATTGTCCCAAACTCATACCAGAAACTCGAAAATGTTCTCTAAATCAACTAAACTGAATCAAACCGCGAATAATTTGAATATTTTTCGTAATGCCGTTTTTCCGTCAAGAAAAATGTGATATTCAGAATCCTACTTGGTTTACCGGAAAAATAGCGTAAGAGCACTCACACACTACAGCAATTCGTTCCTCGATCGTGAATTACCTAATCAGTGTTTTTTGCTGTGCTTCATCGTCGATTTAGGAAGAGGAGAACTAAAAAATGTTTTGTGATATCTGCAGATACAGAAATTGACGTTTTAGCCATTGAGGTAAATCCGAATAATTCCATAAGAGATTTTTCTAGAGAAATCTGTTATTCAACGAATTCTGAAGAAATATAAGATTTCTCCTTATGAGTTAAGACCAGTGCAAACACTAGAACCGGGTGACCCTGAGAGGCGAATGGGGTTTTTGGGTGGTTTATGAATAAATGCAGACAAGATCCAAACTTCTATAGAAATATTATATGAGGCGATGAGGCAAATTTTTCAAATTGTTGGATGCATAATAGAAAGAATTTTCATTATTGGAAAGGACATAATCCATTTCTAGAGCATCCCCACAATCCGCAATTACGATTTAGTATTGTTTGGTATGGTCTATTTAGAGGCAGAATTATCGGTCCATCTTTCCGCCATGGTTCTTTGAACGGACCCCGTTACATTAATTTATTAACAAAAGTGTTGGAAGAGTGTTTCGATGATCTTGATCTGGAAGCTTGTCGGATGATCTCTTCTCAGCAAGATGGAGCACTAGCACATACATTCAGTGGCGAAAAAAATTTTGCGAGACTGTTTTGGAAACTGATGAATTGCTACAAATGGCCGTGATAAGTGGCCTCCTCGTTCACCAGACATGACACCTCTAGATTTTTTATTTTTGTGGATTAATGAAAAATGAGGTGTACAAAATAAAACATAACAATGTATATGAACTGAAAAATTATATTGTAACTATAATTAGAATTGATGGCCGAATTTTGTTGAAAGCAACACATAGTGTAAAGAGAAGGGCCCAAATATATGTTCAAGAAAAAGGCGGTGTTTTTGAATATTTACTCGATATTTCATAGGTCTTTATTCGCAAAAACAAAGATTTTTTTTGTACTCCACATAAGTCGGTAATTTTCAACTTCAGGAAGAAAGGTGATATGAGCTTTGTTGTGAATGTTATTACGAATCGAAACATAAGGTGTTCCATTTTAAAAAATATCACTTTATGAAATATTTTGAAAACGCAACAGTAAATTTTTTTGTTTTCGGCATCGAGAAGGCCATTAAAAATGCTACTAGTTTGCCCATTTAAGCGAATTCGTAGCATAAATAATGACGGAGTTGGCAATGGTGCGGACTTAATTTGAAACACCCTGTATATAAATTGATGGATGTAGCCGTTGTTACTACGTGGTAGGAGATCATAATGAAAAGAGAAATGACAATTTCTGTTTTTACCACTTTTAATTGTAACTAACGTTACTGCAGTTTCATCCTATATATGTATATGTATATTAGTATAAACAGTTTATTGTTTTATTTTGAGATGTCCATATAGGATGAAACTGCAGTAACGTTAGTTATAATTAAAAGTGGTGAAAAACATAGAAATTTTCATTTCTCTTTTCACCCTGTATATACTACATCAGTTCAAACTTAACCTTACTTTCCTCCAATGACATCACAAAGGTGGCGGCCACAATCTTTGACATTTTGAAACCCCTCATATATCCATCCCATCCCTGAAGTGATATAACAACACATAACCTCTAAATAATTAAGTGTAAAAGATTTTTATTTAAATTATGGCAGGACTTATTGTTGTTCAGCAATCTCTCTTCAGAAAAATTCTTCCTGCCGTATCTAGAAGACTTGTTTCAACATCTAAAAAGAGTCATGACACCGTTTCAGTCGAAGTCAGCAAGGCTCAAGTTAAAACTCCTGTTAGCAAGAACTGGGTTAGTTATGGGTATAATTTCGAGTCCAAAGAAGCTGACAGAAATGCTATGCATTCGATAATGTTTGCATCTGTTACCTTGTGTTTAGTTGTTGGTGGATTCTTTTGGGCATATATGCCAGATTACAACCTCAGAGATTGGGCACAGCGGGAAGCTTTTCTAGAGCTGCGAAGAAGGGAAGAAAACAATTTACCTCTTGTCGATCCCAACTTAATTGATCCTGCCAAAATTGTACTTCCCACTGATGAGGAATTGGGGGATACTGAAATCATTATTTAACTGTTAATTGTAATGTATGTAAATAATATTTGACATTAAAATATCCCAATCTATGAAAAGTTTGAATATTAATTTTTTTGTAAATATATAAATAATGGAAGTTTAAATATTTCACTTTGAGTGGTAAAATATATGCAACTATACAGTTTTCAAACGTTTAAATGATACAAAAAATTTAGTAATTGTCATGCAAACTCAATTATTTTTATAGTGTTTTAATAAAATGAGACCCGGTGTATGACAGCTGTACAATTTAATGAGTTGTAAGTTATGATTTGAGACACGTTGAAATATATGCTCTTATATGAGCGAAGCGTTCACTTGTCTGCTCTACCTCGTAGAAGACAATGTATTTCCACAATGTGTTTTTCAACTCATAATTTGCTGCCTGTTCAATTCATTGGTCAAAATTTCTTTTGATAAAGAGTTAATTTTGAAGAAACCTGTAGATCACACTTTATAGCATTGGAAATATACGAAGGAGTGGATAAAATCATACTGGAGTAAAATTCATTATGCCTTACTGAAAAAAAAAAATGTTTGGGGTTTATTTCAATTATTTATATTATTGACGTATTATACTGCAAGAACCAAATTCTTTTGGAATTTTTGCTGACTTACCTCTAGTTATTCCTAATACATCAATGTCCAATTACTCCACTAAATCAAATTCACAACACATTTCAAATTCGATGAAAACATTCACTGTTATACTTGAGAATCTACATACCCACATATTATTTACTCTCCTTTTTCAGACCAGAATATACAGAAAATTAGCTTTTAAATAGTAAGTAAATTAAAATCTTTGAAGTGGTCAAAATTATATCATATTGAAAGTAGTACAGTTGATGAGCAATGGAACCATTTCAGTTATGTGTTCTGCCAATTGTTTCAGGAATGCTTTCATCTGAAAACGTTCATGAAAGGGTAAAAGGAGTGAAATTAAATCCAGAAGTTATAGAGTTAGCCAGGCACACACAGAAATACATTGAACGCCTGGCTAAACTTTTCAACACTGAATCCAGAAGAATACTGTAATATTTTGTTGAGTAAAAAAGGGTTGCGATCCTATTAAAATAAAGTTATACAAGATGAAATGCTTGTGGAGAGAGCACTCATAATGCGATACATGGTAAGGACACATCACACCAATTATCTTTTGATGGAAATCCAACAGTCATAGCCAATCAGTATAATAAATTTTTGTTAAATATAATTCAAAATTCACTCAGAAATACAGAAACAGTTCTAGTTATTTCCACTGTAACAAAAAATTCATAATCTGTTTGTATAATTTGTTACCGAAAATGAAATGAAAGAAATAGGAAAAAAGTGAGCCGTCACAGGACGCCTGGCAGATGTGAAACATAGATAATTTTTTGTGACTACTGTTATAATTTTTGGGTACTGAAATATTAAAAAAATGATATATAATTAAAATATACATGAAAACATAATGTGACTTTAATATTTTAATAATCTCAAGAATCTTAGCAGCTATTGCAATATATTACTCAAGACCCTAAATTATAAATATCGATAATAAATGTTTCAATATAAATTCCACCATCATTAGAAAATTCATATTTTATTAATTTTTTTATGTTCCTGTTGATAATAAATACGATACGACCAATAAGCCTTACATCCTTCCTGTTGAAAGGACTTGAGAGGATACTGGACGGACACATCAGCAGGGTGGCATTATATGCATACCCCCTGCATGCATACCCCCAACCTTGTAGAGAAAATCTCTCAATCCCTTGACGAAGGAGCATTTGACAATGCACAACCTAAATCTACAGAGGATCATCTCTGGCTAGGAGAGGAACATAATCGACCATAACTGGCTGGATCTATGCCACGCTGATAAGCAGAACTGCAACTACGACTCTTCAAGGCGAGGCCATTAGGTTCAGGGTTACTAACGGCTACCCTCAAGGTGGAGTACTATCTCCCCTTCTGTGGTCGCTCCTGATGGACAGTCTCCTTGATGCCCTCGACAGAAAAAAAGTAGATTTGCAAGCTTATGCAGATGACCTTGTCATCTTGACAAGGTCCACGTCGGGAAGGGTAGCTTGTAATATCCTCCAAAGCACGATGGACGTTGTTCACAGTTGGTGCCTGAGGGAGCAGAAGTCTGTCAATCCCAAACAAAACTGTGATAATCCCCTTCACCAGAAGGAGAAAATTGGACGATCTAACGCCACTTTCCCTTAATGGTGAGGTCATTCCATTTGGAACGGTGGTGAAATATCTTTTGTCCTTGATAAAAAACTCACCTAGATCGCTCACTTGGAAAAAGTTTTACACAAAGCCAGACTGTCCCTATAGACATGTCAAAGGATTTGTGGTAAAACTTGGGGTTTAGGTACCAAACAAATCCATTGGATTTATCTGATGATTGTTAGACCAATGATCACTTATGCAATTGTCTGGTGACCGAATGCTTCACAGAAAACGACCCAGGTGAAGCTCTCTGGCTTACAGAGACAGGCTTGTTTGTCCATCAGTGGTTTCATCAGTACCACACCGTCAGCGGCCATGGAGATCCTTCTAGATCTACCTCCTCTCCTGGAGAGAGAGAGAGGCTAGATGGACTGCATATACACTTGTGCACATTGCTAATTGCACAAATCAATTTATTAATGTAGAGTGCAACAGACTGTTGGTTGACACTGGAAGTCACCACATTCTGGAAATGACCTCTGACTTTATGCCTCCAACTGTCAACTACGAACTGCCTTCAAAAGTACTGTTCCCTAGTAGAGAGGACTGGTGGACTGGTGCTGCAAGCAGCTTCATCGGACCAGAACCTGTCATTGGCATCGCTTTAGGCTTTGCCAAACAAAGATTGAACTCTTGGATAGCAAGAAGATTTATGGACGTCTGGCAGAAACTTCCAAGATTGGTTCACTCCATGGCACTTATTCACCCTTCGGAGCTTGATATCAAATAGTTGTTGGACTACATTACCGATGAACTACATTGTGTAACAGTCCTTCTTACATGTCTTACTGTCACTTGAATCATCATATGCAGAGACTCGGACTGTCGGATGACGGTGTGTTTGGAAAATGATGAAACAGCAGAGCACATACTTTGTCCCTGCCCAGTTGGGGACCAAATCAGGATTATAGAGTTCGGTATAGTCGTACTCTTACCATCTGACCTGAAAGACCTCTCACCATACAAACTAATCGGCTTCGTTAAGAAGCTGGGTTTATTTCGTCGAGTGTAAATAGGTGTGAGTCACAATAAACCCTTGTGGGTTGCGGTGGAGGGTCGAATAGACCCACTTACTTCGGACTTAACCTAACATAACCTAATAACAAATAAGATAAACATTCGTTCGCTTGTAATAAGTTAGGTATATATTATTTTTCGTTGAATATTGATTACCAAAATAGATGGATTTTCGTAGAAAAAGGGAACCTCTATCAGCTTTCAGTAATAACCTTAAGGCCAACCAGAGCCAAGCCATTTAGAAGAAAAGTCGTTAAAATGAACTGCTGGATGTTTAAGGAAATTGATATTTTGAAACATTCAACCTCATCATTCATTTCATTATCATGTCATTAAGGGTCGTAAATATATATTATCCAGTCTGTATACCCCATTTAGAATAACTGTCAAGAGGTACTTGAAAGTATAATAAATATCGAAATTTATTTTCTGAGTGTTCAGGGTGTCATCGTTGATTTTAACGACATGATGAAATTGATGAATCCGCCTGGGATAGTTTACTATTCGAGACAGAGAAAATATCCAAATAACCCTTGCAGTATCAGCAGCAGGTTCGATACATTAGAAATAGCGGGAATCTGTAGGTAATAATTCTTGCGGACTTATCCGCCGGACATGTAGAGAACGTTAAGCGTACCAGGTTTGGAAATAATTTCAGAAAATTTGAATTACATCTCCTAACAGATTTAAGGTGAAAAGTTTTGGGAAATAATTGAGTCAGTCGTGCGCGGACCCCAGGGTCGTTTGGGGGCTCTTGACTGGGGCAGTTGGCCCTTTGTGGAGGTCGCTGGGGAAGCTCGTGCTAGGTGTTTCAAGACACTGGGTCGCGAGGTGACTTCAGTAGTGATTATTCGCGTTTTATTTAGCTAGCTGACTTAAGGTAAAACTGACTTGAGGTAAAAAGTCAGTAGCTAACTCAGAAGTAGGTCGGTTGGACTTCCTACGGAGTTCTGAGTGAATTCTTGAGGTACTATAATACGAGGTATTTCTGGTATATATATGTAAATATATACAGTGCTAGTCAAAAGTCCCCTCCCCCCCCTCGTATCTTTTGAACGGGTATACTTCTAATAATGAAATTTGGAGGGTGGAAATAAACGGATTACATCACCTCTGATAAATACATAAATTCAAGGAACTGATATGAGAAAGCAGTCGAATAGAAAGAATTATTGAGCATAAAGACATAGAAGAGTAAACAATTAACTAATCGCTATGATTAAAAATTACTGATTGTTACATAGACCTACTGGAAAGCTGTTCATTTAGAGACTCCAGAATCAGAATCATGAGACCTTTCCTCTCATGTGAACCTATGACTTTGTAGATACATGTGGTAGATACCCGACGGAAAGCTGACAAAAAACCATCAGGCACCTGTGCAACGTTTTCCATTTGGAAAATTCGTCGCAAGTAACTTCCTATTGGTCAGGACGACCACCGATTTTGGAGTACTTGCTCCTCGTCAGTACCAGGTCATTTCAGACGGAGTGAACCGTCTGAGTAGCAGATATTTGATTTTTGGTACAGACCTTTATGGGCCCCACTTTTCGCCATCCTTAGCCCGAGTGACAGCCTTGAACCCAGCCTACTACGTTCCTGCGAAAAGGAAAAATTCTCGATTTTTGCTTCGCGTTGATGATACCGAAATAAGTTATTTGAAAAAATTGCTTGGAAATCGATGTAGGAATAAGAATGAAAAACCTAATATTCATTATGAATACACTTACTTCATCGATTTTAACTATTTTATCATTTCTATAGCTTCTTATTCGGAACCATTAATTGAAAATCGGACTTGAATACGAAAATTACAAAGAAAAGGCAAATTTCTAATTTTGAAATGAAATTTGGTATGTAGTGTCGAAATCGATTTCTAAGCAACTTATTTCAGTATCTCCAACGCGAAGCAAAATATCGAGAATATTCCCTTTTCGCGGGATCGCAGTAGACTGGGTTCAAGACTGTCACTCAGGCTACGCATTGCAAAAATTGTGGCCCATGAAGTTCAACGTCTGTACCAAAAATCAAATCTCTGCCTTTAAAAATGACTAAAATACAGAGGTGCCTTCATCTTAAGTGTGCCACACCACCAAAAGGTGGTTCCACTTATGTCTTGCTTGCGTTTACTGTTATTTTTTAAGTAATTTTCTTGATAATTCACATTTTTTTTTCAATCGAGGACCGCCGGCCTGGTATTGACGATGTGTGTTTCCTGCTTTCGGCAAACAAGTGCTGCCCATCATTACACTTGGCTGCACCGCGCTGATGAGGCCAATAGCCAGAAACACGTGTCCGCGGTTTGCCCCACTTTTGGAGTGTTGTGTCCACTAATTGTTTCATTTTTGATGTTTTTTTATGAGAAAAGACCTTGTGTGGTGCCGGCACTCTCCCCATGGTAATATGCCATAGGCCAAGGTTGACTGAATTTCTGCAAAGTAGAAATTTCTCAAGTAGTTTCTATCAACATTTGGATCTACTGGATCATGTTCATACCAGTTTAACTGAAAGTTGCTTGTCGATAGGTCTTTGCCTTATTTGGAAGATCACACAGTCTATTTCTTTAAAAATAAGTTGATTCCAGTTATATATTGCAGCATCTGAACATAATAACACAGCTTACTATAGTAAGTAAGCTGTGATAATAAGATTGGATAACGGAAACCTTAGCTGCAGGCAATGCAACAAACAATTTAAGAATAACCAAAATTACGTCTACAGAGTCTTTCAGTGACGTAATGAAGCACTTTATTGTCCATAATTTCTTTATTTTCTTTTTTTTTATTGAAAATAATATCCTAGACCCTAATAAATCAAGCAGAATGCAAACTCATTTGTTTGGGAATAACAGGAGCAATGAAAATCACACCAACAGCAGCACTGTGTCGTGAAAAAGTTGATAGAAATAGGATGTAGGAAGAGCTTTCTGAATTCTATTATGGTCCCGCCCACTAGAGGTACGTTCGTTAGAAGACTATGAGAGCGAGAGAGATCTTTTAAGTTTCTTCCTAGATTTGACAAGCTGTACTACTTGGGAGTCCTAAAAAATATCCTAGACGGTTGTTGCTAGGGTCGATCAAGTTAATAGAGGATGGTGTTACAAATGTTTTAACCCAATATTCACGGCTTACTACAAATTGGATCTATCTACTCCAATTTTTCTCATAACATCACTGCATTCCTAAATTTTTTTTTTAAAAACAGAGTGAATAAGGACATACAACAAAAAATTCAATATTTCAAGAACAAAGTTCACTTGAAACAACCAGATTCAATGCAGAAACCATAAATAAAAAACATTGTCATAATAAATTAGTTTCTTAACAGCACATATATAGAACTCGGTAGCATTCAATTGTGAATTGAAGTAAATATGACTCCATTTGGAAAATAAGATATTTCTTTTTAGTTGTTAACCTACCTACAAACCCATGAGGGAAAAATTGGAATTGAAAATAGAACTACCATAATGATAAACCATCTAATTTTCTCATTATTGTCGAAAAATGTAGTCCTCATACCAACCACAAGTTTAATTTCTGAAGTCATACTTCAAATACGGTCAACATGAGGCACAGTAATTTTTGTTAGACATTCGATGTTGATGGAATTAGAAAAAATATTCTAATGTAAAAAACAATAATACCCAATCCTCTAAGTGTTCTGGGAATTCAGATTCTAAATAAAATTACCTATTGATAAATCAGTTTATCAACATCAAATAACAAAAAATATATTGATATAAAAATCATAATGTACAGAGAGATATATATGTCCATAACATTTCCCAACATGCAACATATATGTAGATTTGTTTAATGTTATAAAGATTCTATTTTGTTCGAGTCATTTTGTTTTCAATCACGTCTTCTTAGCATTTCAAGATGGAACAACCTCGGTCTGGTTGTTTTTAGTTACCAATTGGAGCAGGCTACCATTTTCTGGAAGATTTTTTCCGGATGCCCAATCCAAGAATAACCTTCAAAATAAATGAAAATATTGGTTTTAACATGTCACAGAAACACTGAAAACTACTAAACTATCAAAATATAATCAATTTGAACAAGTAAAAAAAAGGAAAAATTAAATTTCAATTGCGTAGTTGCCAAATATCATTAATGACATTTATGAAATTTAACAAATTCCGCTTATGTATTGTTTATAAATCTGTTCAGGATCAGAAATCACAAGTGACGTGAATTTTTCATGGAATGAAACAGTAGATTTTTTCATTGGATGTTTTCATTTATAATATCTATAATTCATTTTACATATATAATGAATCCCCATTTATTAAACTTGGATATTTCAAGAAAACAATAGAAGAATTTATCACAGGTTATGCATCTGAATCATATTACTTTCATCATTTTTTATTTTTCATAACAATCCACACATCAACAAAGTTCTCCAGATAGTTGATCTTCATCTAATTCATTATGGTCCTCATTTTCATTCTGGCGCTGTATTTGTGGTATAGATTTTCAGTTAGCTTTTAACGATTTTTTCTTTGATTTCCATTAACATTTTAATTAGGTATAGCATTTTTCAATGATGAAAAATGACCTTCCAATTGATCAGAAACATCTATAAAATACTTACTGTTATAATCACGAAACAAAATAGTTTTTTCAATTTGTTCATCATGCCTTTGAATTGATGTTGATGCTACCGAGTGTTTCTTACCTATACAAAGATTTTAATGTTCACCCTTCCACTCTAGTGCAACAATACTTGCATTAATTTCAATTGCTGCAATATCTCCCTTCTTGAGTAATTTATTTATAATTCCTTTAGGGTTCAGTATACGATTTTTTTGCAATGTTATCGCCTTCTAACCCACATGACTCAGATGCATTACAGGCTATGTGAGCCTTGTGTCAAGTCTAAAATTCAAAGCTTTTTTGTATGAGAAATAAATAACCTTCATTTTTCATGACAATTCATGATTGAATTAGACCATTGCAAATTCACCTTGTGAAAAATGCAAGGGCCTGAAGGGCATAAAAACCATACTGTTTTGGTGGTTAACTGTTACAAAAAAGCACAGTTAGAAATGAAGTGAATTTTCCATCAAAGTAAGCAGTTTTTCACAAATACAATTTCATAGTGATTATTGTTCAACTAAAATGAAAGTGATAAAAGTTTATTATTTGTTTCAAAGCTGCAGTGATTTCTTCTGTTTCACATTTACAATTTCAATAGAGTATATTATATAAATATTTGCAAAAAGTTGACTTACTGAGATACAAACTCAAGAGATGTCCAAGATGAAAAATCTGCTTTTGGCATCCATTTTCTGTTCATTGGAGTGTCTAATGTAATAGGCAGTACTGCAACTGCATAGGCTCCCTCAGGAAGACCACTATCCTTCAGAGATAAAGATTTTGTTAGATGATGAACTTAAGATCTCACAGAAAGCAGGTTTTCCTACTTTTTCTTAAGAGCGCTAGGGTCATTTATGGTTCTTATAGCTTGAGGAAGGTGATTGAACTTTTTGAGACGGTTGTAAATAATGGAATCTTTAACTAGGGCCGAAGAAGGCAGCGGTAATTTAAAGCTGAATCTTTGCCTGGTTTGATACATTGGCTCGTCCAAGTTGTTGAACAAGTTCTTATTTTTAATGGAATCTTTAACTAGTGCCGAAGAAGGCAGCGGTAATTTAAAGCTGAATCTTTGCCTGGTTTGATACATTGGCTCGTCCAAGTTGTTGAACAAGTTCTTATTTTTAAAGAGAAGGCAGATTGTTTCATATATAAATAAGGAGACCACAGTTGGGATCCCGTTAGAGGCAAAAAAATTCAGACAAAAATCCCTAGGCTTAGCTTTACATATGCATCGTATTGCATGTTTTTATATCGGTAATACTGATTGAAGGCATGTGGTAGAACACACACCCCAAAAATAAATACCATAACGAAGATGGGATTCAAAAAGGGAATGAAAAACCATTCTAGCTACTGCAGACCCAACATTATGTTGGAATCAATAAAAACCTGTTGGCAAGTTACCACTTTCCTAAAGGTTTTTGTCACTCTTGGGTAGAACAGTGTCACTTACAATTGAGATTATTTTTCTTTTATATACTTGTGAGAGAGCAACTATTAATGTTCATAGGACACTGTAGCAAAATAGCTTAAATAATGAGTGAATACCTTAACACAATGCACTCATATAAATACTAAAGGAAAATATATTTGCCTGGTGTTCCTTCCAAAGCAGCCTTTGCTCCTGTAAATTGAACAACTCCACCATCTTTCAAATGTTTTGCAGCTATGCTGGCGGTGATCAGTGAACTGCAAACACTTTGTTGCCACATGAGCTCAGCATTTTTTACCAGATCTGAAAAAAAATGTACAGTTTTGTATATTTTGAATTTGTATTTATTATATCTAAGGAGTTCCGGGACTACCATACTTACTAGGGACAATAACAACGTACTGTACTATGTAAGCAGTGTACGTTGTTATTTTTCCATTAAGAAAAACAAATATTTTTTAAATACCTTTTGCTGCATTTCCTCCAGCCCATCCTCCTGCTACACAGAAAATACCATCAAGTTTTGACCCATTCAGTGCTGAATTTACTGAATCAAGAATAGAACTCTCCTTGAAATAAAAAAAGTCAAGCTTATTGATGAAGGATATATCAATAATCTTACGAGAAATGGCATGCTACAGAAAAGTCATGGGCAAAGTACTTAAGTTAATTCAGTGACTATAAAACAAAAATGTTCGAAACAAGCTGAAGACTACTGACCAATATTTGCTATGAATTGATGATTTTGAACAATTCTCACAAACTTTTTCAGATAGGTGATGGAATTATGATCTTGTTTAAAGTCACCAACTCCTAGCAAGTTCTGTTACAAAAGAACTGTTAGATTTGATTAGTAGGTTTTGAAAAACATTTTTCCAAAGTTTCTGTGTATTTTTCAACAATTCAAGAAAAGTTTCAGGCTGATGTAATTGTTAAGGCTTTGAAGTAAATAAAAATGATTTGAATTGAAGGGGTTATATTTTTAGGAGTGATTAATGATGTTCATTCAAGTATCATTTAGGCATAATCACTGAACTTCCCTATCAAGTATCTTGGTTATTATTTGCCTTCACTATCTTGAAAACTATAGAAAATAAAAATTTGAATCACCTACAGATATCTTGTAGGCTGCAACTTTTTTTCTTCAAGATATCTATTAAAATAACTACCAAACTTAAAACAATTGTATACAAGACAGTGTTATTTACTCTAACAAGAGACAGAAGACTCCAAGTACCTTCTTTGTGATAGAGATGCTCAACTCTCAAGAAACATTACATTTTAATGATAGAGGATTATGAGTGTTAACTAGAATTTTGGAAACAATCTGGGATATTCCGCTAACAAAGTCCAAAGCCTCTTCCAAGATCTCTATTACAGCAACCAACCACATCCATTCAATATTTCGAGACACCACTCAGAAAATATATATGGGTTTTATTCCAAATTTTTCAATATATTTCACATAGAAGTACTGACATCAACTTACAACTATGACAACACTTGTGAAATGAATCTTTTTTTTTAATACTGAATAGTTAATATCCAAATAATTGAGTTTTGTTGCGGGAAATAACACACTAAGGTTTATCAGGTTGAAGCCCAATCTTGGCAAACCATGCATTCTACTAAAAATACTATGGCTCAATGAAAAATTTCATCAAATTGTCTGTTTCTTCAACCTCAAGATTCAAATATTTCGTAATATCTTTTAGACAAATTTATTTGTAACTCCCAAACATTTTATGAGGTATTGATAATCACACCCACCTGTTGTTGTAGGTTTTCATCCTTTTTCACCAAAATATTAACATCTGCTTCTGGGTTTTCAGCCATATCGATCGACCCAACCCACTAAAAGCGATTATATATTATCCAGCATATTGTTAGGCGAATGTTAATACTTACAAAGTTATTTGCTTTAAACTGAGAGACACATTTAGCACCAAGAGCTCCTCTACCTCCATATATGATTACACGTCCAGCTTGTGCCATATCTGTAAAAATGTAAGATCAATGAATTACACTTCTGTTCTAGTTCTGCACAACAGATAAATAGATCGAAAAAGGTATCTTGTGATTTCCTTTCAAATAACCTTGACCGGTGGTTGTGGTAACAATCTAAGGTTGTTATTATTGAGGTTATCGGTTTTTCCTGTGTTGCCATTGTTGCGAGGCTGGTGGGTAGAGAAAAAGTCATACATTTCGATACTTGATGAAAATCCATAACGTGTACGAAAAACACCTCATTGTAAGATTTTCACTGAATAGTTTTTCAAAAACACAACACGCCTGAAGAAGCTATCTTACAATGAAGTATTTATTGAATGTTTCAAGACACT